TTGCATGCAAAAAAGTGATTTTGAGATTAAGCGTAAATTGTATGAAAAGTATGGGACGGACATAGTTTATGTCGTGGAGTTCATGCATCCTATTCGCTTGAGATATAGTGAGCACCCGCAAGACACTAAAAACAAAACAGGAAATGTTCATATCAGTGACCATTTTTTGGCAAAAAACACACAAGGTTTAAATCCAGGGAGGTATGGACACTAAGCCCGTTTTGGAGCTCAGGGTCGTATACAGAGCACAGGACCATCCAAACAGGTGAATAAGTCGTTTTTTCTTATATAACGTCGGCAACCTAATCTAAACGTACAGGGCTTGTCATGGTCGATTATGCAAACGTGATATGTGTCTTGTGTAACGCGTGCTAGCTTAAAATCGTTTACATGTAATTACATCCATGTAAATGTAATGGGCGATGCCTGGCGCGGGATGCATGATGCCTGTCTACTTGAATTCGTTTGCACGTACACGTATTATTGTAGCAATGGCTGGCAATTTTCCCTCGTTTAATCCCCCGAATGTTGGTGACCCATAAAACTGTGGCTCGCTGTTTCAACAAACGGAAAACTCCGAAGAATCGATTAGAATCTTCGGCAGGCAACTCTAAACTTACCTCTGCTATTTATTTTGATGAAGGAATGATGGCGAAACGTCAACGTGCCTATTTTCCCATTATCCTGGTTTCTCTACGACGCTATTCATGCCTTAAACGTTGCGCCACCTGCAAAGTGCATGAAAAGAGCACACCTCTTCTCATCAATGTATGAAAAGAAATATACCTACTTTGCAGACTTTGTTTCAGGAAGGGCGGGCAGTGCTTGGTCACGATAGTTCAAAAGTTGCATTAAAAGCTTCCCGCGGAAAATGACTGCCTAAAATTCTCAAAACGTCACCAGAGATTCGACAAGACTAAACAACTAACTGCATGTGACTTAGTTTACGTTCACGTCAAAGGAACTCGCTGCGACTTCAGTACACGGTCACCTGTCAATCACAAACATATCTTCAAGTGCATGATTTTTGTGCATAACTCGCGTTGGTTGCGGCACGCCGGGAGCTTTGCAAAAATCGTGAATGGTCTCAAAGTGTCCGCGGCGGCATGCCGAGAACGTTGTAAAATTAGCGGAGAGTCTCGAAATCTCCGCTAGAGGACCGTTCCGACTTATGGCACCATAAAGCGACAACCTGGACTCGGACGAGACCATATAGCAAGGGGTCTCATCGTGGAGACCTTGCAGCATACTCTCAAAGGTCTTACAGTGTAAGTTCTCAAAAGTAGTTTTCAACGTACCTATTGCTGGCACTTCTTATACTGACATAGCCATTGCTGGCATCGCACGTCTAAAATATGTTCATTAGTAAGACTCGGTATAGGGCACAGGAACAACCAATCGAGCATGGCTATAGGCATAAGAGAACCGCGTGAAAAGTGCCGACCACTTTAATCACTGAAAATGTCTTCTTCATATTTGTTTTCATGTTTCATGGCTCCATACTGTTCCAACTATCTGCTGCATCAGGCAAGCTAAACATCTATATTTCCCTAGCTATAGCTTCCTAAGTCACACGGTACACACGGCTAAGCTATCATGACTCGGACCTCCCCTTGATGATTGAACAGTTGCATGCCGACACATTTTCGGCCCGACTGACCACTACCGTGCCCTTTTTGCACGTCAGTTTCACCCCGTAACGCCTGTCACGTGACTGCTCCACTAAATCGGTGGACGGGCTGTCGGTTTCATGCAAGGTCGGGCTTATTCCTATAGGACTGGTTTTCATCTGTCATAAGCAGAGTCGGCTAACTTCCAGTTGGTTTTTGTTTTAGGTCTCTTATTCAGAGTCGGCCTATCTCCATCGGGGTTATTCAAAGTCGGGTTTTAAGAGGCCACGGAAGATTTGCTTCGCAACGATGGTGCTCAACTATACACACCAAATCGGAGGAAATGATGTCACGATGCTTAGCGACACCTCTCTCTCCTGACGACGGAACTTCCCACGCTGGCGAACGTAGGCAGAACCATTTTGTTGGTATTAGGAACTGGGGACATTATCAACCGTAGATATCATGAACTGTGGACGTTGTGAACTGTGGACGTTGTGAACTGAGGACATCATGAGCTGTGGATACTATACCCCCCACCCCCCGTGTTTTGCTGTCGGTCTTATTTACGAATCAGAGGCGTTCACTCGCGGTAGACCCCAGAGGGACGTTTCCTCCGCCCCCTATGAACATGTTAACAACAAACACTCAAGGTAGGCAAGCACGCCCAAGACGATCGAAAACATATGATGTAAAATCACGCCAGCAAGGAATTTTGTGCGTTTGCGGCGTCCCGACCAGTTTTTTTTAAAAACTTGTGCCCCTTCCATTGCACATTTCTGCGGATGCCTGTGTTGCGCACGCTCTTCCTCAACACTATTTCGTGGTGTGTTTTTTGCCAATTAATTCTGAAGTAAAGAAGACAGACTCAGCAGAACATGAGCCCTGCTCCTTCGCGACACCGCGCCTGTTCACAAAGTCAGTGTTGTCACAGTCAAACAATTCGCAGCTGCGGCTTTGAGGATCTGCAGCACCAGGCCTATACCCCGGACTAAGTCCCAAGTAACTTCCACCTTTATCGGCCTCCGAAGTCGCATCTCCAAGGAAGGAGGGATGAACAGTCACATCTCTAGGGAGGGAGGGATGAACATGGATGGTCTACTGAGGAGTGGCTGGAGAGCCGGCTAAGGATGTTCTTCCCCAGAGGCATCGATAGGATCAAGGAGAAACGTGAGAAGAACATTGCTCTCAAGCTAGAAATAAATTCAGAGACAAAACAGTGCTGAAAGTGCTATATATGTATCTTCCCTGGAACTTTTTGATCACCCCATATAAAGGAGTTGGTGTGCGTGAAAAGCGATTAGATATCCCACGGATATTTGGGCATCTAACGCATTTGGATACGTTTTTCATTTTGGACCTTTATGGCACATGGGGGTCGTATCACCCACAACGTAAGTGACTTGAGGCTGCGTTGTGTGGCCATTTCGTGCTGGCAACAGCCATACGGTTGAGCCACCACCACTTTTGGCTGCTCCCTTTTGGCGTGAGCCGCCCCCCTTCACTCGGCGTCAGGTCCCCCACCTCTCTCGGCCCCAGTCCCCCTCCAGGCCGGCGCCGGACCGGGGGGGGGGGGGGGGGCGGTCAGTGCGGAGTTGCGCGAGCGACCGCCGCCCCGCTGACCTATTTAAGCGCGGCCGTGGAGCCGTCGGTTACCGGGTCGGCCGCCGCTGCCGACGGCCATCGATCGTCGACACCGACACGCGGTCCATCGATTCCGACGGCAGACGGCGCGGCCCCGCGGCCGGGTCAGGTCAGCCCTAACAGGTCCGCCCCGACCCCGGCCCACAAATAGGTGAGATGAGGCGGTGGAACGCCCCGGGGGCACGGTGGGATGACCCTCACGGCTGCCACTAAGCAGTTCTCGTTGATGGATGGGTGTGGCTGTGTCGAAGAAAAGGGCAGAAATGTATTTAACAGGTAAGCATTTGGAATATTATGATTGTATGGCGCCCGATTGCGTCATGGTGACGGCATTGAGTCGTGGTGAAGGCATTTTTTTCGTAATATGTTTGGGCTAATATCGTTTAGTATTTGGTTGGGTGCATCGATTGGTGACTAATACGTGTGTACCCCATGTAAAATTGGTGGGTTAAACTGAAGCACACTTTAAAAGTTGCGAAGAACTTCCATCATATAGATAATGCGGTAGGAAACGCCCTATTCCTCGGGAAAAACCAGGCGAACGAAAATACAGATGGGTTCCTTTTTTGTCACCGTGCCTTAATCGAAACAAACGCAGAAGCGCGTATCATATTTTAAGATTTTTATCATGTTGCCATGTCAGAAGTGTCTATCTACCGGGAATCTCCTGTTGTTGTTTCGATAAAGGCATGCTGCCACAAATATCAACCCATCTTTATCTCCATTCTACTGTTTTTGTTTCTGTTTTTCTGTTTTATCCGAGGAATAGGGTTATTACTACTGTCTTATTTACGGTGAATAATGTTTCCGCGCAAGTATACTGAACATTTATTAGATTCTCCAAGGCTGTTTACACGTCGTTTCGTGCTACTGAGCGCAGCGCAGAGCGCTACTTTGTTCGAGTGAAATGGCGTTTCCCCACTTCAAACGACTGCCAAAGTATGTTAAGTAATGTCCTAAAAAGGTAAATAAGCGAGCTGTCCGTTCAACTGATTTCCGCGCGCAGCCTGAAGGCGTCACATGACCAGCTGTCTGCTGGTTCAGGTGTGGGATGCGGAGGAGCAGACCAGCCGGGTGGTGTTCCGCTGGTACCGGAGCACCTGGACGGACCAGCTACCCGTGACGCTTACCATCTCCCATCCCTTCACCGTCGTCGAGCTCATCTGGAGCCCTCTCAAGGCGGTGTACGAGTCCCGCGGCGTTCTGCTGCCGTTCGGCCAGTTTCACGGCTCGCTGCGCGTTGGCGGCGCCTCGCTGCCCGTCGAGCCATTCCGCGTCAACCGCTTCACCTTCGAGGTGATCCTGTTTCTACGCGACATCGGCTATGGCCCGGACGAGCTGGACACGGCGCGGCTGCTGCCGACGCGGTGGCCGTCCCTCGGCCTCAGTGCCCCGGCGGCGGCGTCGCCTGCGCCTCCCAGCCACCTGGACCTGCAGCACGGCCGGCTTGTCACCCGTCTGGCCGCCCTGTCGCTGCTGACCGAGCTTGGCTCCGACGTGCGCCAGCTGCAGCGGCAGACGCGCACCAACGAGCGGCATCTGGACCAGCTGAGCCGGCAGGTGCGCGGCGACCGGCTGCACCGCCGACGGCTGGCCGAGGCGCTGCGCCGCGAGCTCGCCCTGCTGCGCGACCCCGGCTCGCACCAGGGGTCAGACCCTGGCTGGCGCCTCAGGCGGCCGGCCCGCCAGCGGCGCCGGGCGCGGCCGCCGCCAGCCGAGCACGAGCGCGAGGAGAATGAGGAGGAGTGGGAGGACGTGATGGCCTCACCGAAGCGCTCCTCCAGCTCGCCCCGTGACCGCGAGAAGTCCACGACGGTGGAACACCACGTTACGTTTCGCGACGGCTGGGTCCAGGATGATTTGGAGGCCTCCGAGGCCGCGGTGGAATCTTCCGCAATAGAGAAGGACTTCGCGTTCGAAGACCTGTGTCGACAGGATCTTGATTACCTGGCTGATGTGCAGATCGAAGAAGATGTATTGGACACGCTCGTCACTGATAAATTAGCAGGTAACATGCTGCCTTCCCGGTGTTTCAGCTTTGTGCGCTGGCCTGTATTATGCCGGGATCGGGCCAAGTCCGTTGTGAAGTTTGTTATCGCTATGAAATTAAAAGCTTTTTCGTTATTTTCTTGCCGTGAAATTGTGTCTGATCAAGCAACTTCGATACGAATATTGCCCGGCAAAGTAATTTGAGAAATTTCTGGGAACAAAGAAGTATGCTAAGTTCCTCCCAACCCGAACGATTCTACTGGAGCTCTTACAGTTTGCAACGGCACCAAACAGCATCTGTTGTGAGCAGTACCAGTGCAATGGCAAAATCAATTCGAAGCCAATGTTGACAGGTAGTACTTTGCTTCATAAACGAACGGGGCTACGGGCCGATAGAAACTTAACTCGCAAGGTGTACATGAATGTCTTATAAGGTATATATTTTATGAATAATCTCCATTTTATATATATATATATATATATATATATATATATATATATATATATCATTTATCTAAAATGTATGTGATACTTAATCATATATCTACGAGTGGTGAATGCTATGAGTCTGGACCCATAATCGAAGTACATGACATATTTTCTTTAGTGCGTTTCTTGATATATTTTGTTTAGCGGTGCGTGCGTATTCCAGCATGCAATCCTAAGTTAAAATGAAACTAGGTCTCGTTGCAAGCGTCGGTGACTGGTACTGACGCTATACGTTGTCCTTCAGGGGAGCCGCCGCTGGGGCGCCTGTACCATTCCACCCCCGACCTGTACGGAGGTCACCCGCGCGCTCCTCATCGCAGTGAGGTCACACTCTCGCCGCCGTTCGCGTTTCGAACGGCCGGAGGAGGGGAGCTGACCATGCGACCCCTGCGACACTGGAGGTCAGCGCGCGAGCTGACCCCGGAGCAGCGTAAGTGTTCCAGGTATCAACGACGCGTAACAAGGTCAACCACAGATGATTTCAAGACACCAGCGTAGTGGCACAGTCCTTGTGTAGGGACTGTGCCACATTTTCATGGTGTTTTGAACTGAAACAGTCACTTTCAAATTCGTTCGTCGCAGTTCACAGTTATGCGTTTCTCAAGGCTTCATATCCGCTTGTTTCGGGGCTAGGTGCATGCGACCCATTTCGCGCCCCCCCCCCCCCCCATTTCGAAATAACCCAAAGAATTGTAGCGTCATGGGAACCTCAAGTGAGTTCCGTATCTCCAGTTGCTATACTGCTTTCAGTTTCAATAAATATATGGTCATTGACTTACTCGTGACTGGAGCACGTTAGCACGAATTGTCCCATCAACGAACAGCGGTTGACTTCATACCCGCTTAAGGCTTTAAATGTAAGTTATGCAAACGAACCGCGTTTTTATGCAACACACAGACATTTGGGCAGCACAGCTAGATATGACGAAAATAAGGGTGGAGAATCGATTAGTTTAAAAATAGCGAATCATGAGAATGCAAAGGCAACTAAAAACAGAAACATCACGAACAGTTTTTTTACCGTTGATGTTAAAGGTTTGTTCGAATCTTTTGATTGAATGGATTTCTGAGGATCAGAGCTTCACAGCTAAGCAATGTTGTTATGAGGGCCCTGCCCGTACCATTCCATCGCGTAATTCCAGTTGAACGGTAAAACTTGGTGGCAAAAGTTAAACGTAGCGCAGTGCTTAGCACGGTCTGTCCCGCCCTCTGACGTCACCTGACTTCGAGCGCAGCCGCTGCCATCGGCCACAGGCCATATCTATTAAGGGCACATAGCGAGCACCTAAAGCGACACACAAACCCACCCTGCCATGGGTGGGTGGATCAGAAGGCGGGCGCTCTAACCAACTAAGCAAACGGGACGGACGCCTTTGTACGAACTTCACAATTGTACAAGAACGTCACGAGAAAGGGCCAAAACGCGTGCAAATAAAGATAGCAAATAATTTCATAAACACAAAACAACAAGCCACCTTGTGGCGAGTTGAGGCGCTACAAGTGAGTCAGCCCGTCCACTACCGTGGCAACCCTGACACAGCCAACCTGGCAGCGACTCCGAAGCCCTAAACGTTTCATGACACTATCAAACTAATTTGCATTTCCAAATGACATCATGAAATGCATTTGCAAACGCATTTCCTTATGCACTGAGAGCATATTTACTACATAATTAATATTGTTGTCGTTTCTTTCTTTGTCAATCATTTTTCAACAAGCTGCAAACTGTTCCCGTCCCCCTTGAACTTATGCCCATTAACCCCCTTTTGGAAACTCCCTGAATAGAGGAACAGCGAGCTAGAGGTGTCTTGAAAACACAATTTGCACGCGAGACGTTTACCCTAATATTTGAAGCCATCCAGGACGAGAACTTGCTATTTGAAAAAGCAAGACTCACGTCCCAGGCTGCTGCAGAATAACAAGAATATTGTCACTTGTGAAATGAACGCTTCATCTCGTTGTGCCCTGACGCTGTGTCTTACACACTGCACAAAATAGCTGTATACCACTTTCCACTGTCAAAGTAAAAATTCTTTCAAAAAAATGCCACAGAGGTAATGTGGACAAATTTGCCAAAAATGCACACATCGGAAAGGATTAAAGGGCGCCGCATTTTCTTCACGTTTGTAGCTAAGAGAATGTTTGGTGGGTGTGACCCAGAATTTATCAAAGTCCTGGAACCTGGGGACTTATACGCTTTTAGTAAGTAGGTGTTATAACTATAACGCGTGTACCTCGTCAGTGATATATTTATGACCACTCATTCGGATGTGCTGGCTGCTACCTTTCAGTTGTGTTTCTCTCTTGGTCTTACCGCACTAGAAAATGCAACATTGTGACAAAGTGAGTCTTGTCCGTTATGACAAGTCATGGCATACGCATCCCATCATATTGAAAAGAACGTTGTACGTTTCAGCATTTGCCATGAGCTGGAGCTTGACCTTCACTTGACCACTTCTGACAAAAAGCAAAGCAGTCCATATCGCGATTGGTTTGATGTGGTCACGATGCATGAATGTCTGATACAAGAAGCAAATATTTTTACTGACAGAACATGAAAGGCAGAAAAACATCTTAGTTTCTTGTCATGCCTCACCTCAGGCAGGCTGAGGTTCAGTTTCCGCCATGCATGGGCGTATGCCATTCATCATTGTGGATGCCCGTTTTCATGATTGCTCTTGGAAACTTGTGAATGTAAATAGTTATAAAAAGTATGTCATTAGGGGTGAAACTGAACAGTACGGACAGCTGCTCGCAACGAACATTTGCAAAACATGGACAAAATGGGTTGCTTTGTAGGCATCTCCGCCGGCATCTTGCAGAACCGTCAAAGGGCTTAAGTAGCCACGCATTGCTTATCTACCCCCGTTTAGGCGTTCAATAAATGCTGACAATGGCGACAAGCCCTTCCGATTCTGCAAGACCTCCTGTTCACAGGCCCACTCCGGCATTGTGTCGCTTTAACACAGACAGACCTGGCACAAAGCGGGGCGTGGTAAACGCTGATCCAGTGATACTGGTTATCATCAGCACACGACCGTTCCGAGGACCTTGCGCCCACTGCGCTGCGTCACAATGGTATGGAACACTGTGCTCCAATGCGAACCAGCGAGCCTGTCCCACAAAAGCCGTATCGAAAGCAAAATTGCTTAACAGTGCGGCGTACAAAAAGGAAAGACGTCGGAACAAAAAGGAAAGACGCATTGTAGATCGTAACAGTCCTGTGAGTGTGTCGCAGCGGGGTCATGGTGCTGACCTAATCTTGTTTGCACCCTACTACTTGCGCAGTAGAGCTGCCGCTTCTGAGCTCACAGACCTGCAAAGAACGGGTACAAGAAGACCTCAGGGCTTTTACCCGATATTCCTGGCAAGGTCGCAGGCTCTGGGAGATTTCAAAACATGATATTCCAAAACATTTTTTAAATCTTACAATTTATCAGTCTTTGTGTAGTTGCACACTAGAAGAATCGATTTCATCAATAAAGAATTAAGTTGTGTGACCAAAACATGAATGAACTAGCTAAAAAGACAGCACATTATCGATGTTACAGCAACAACCATGATAAAATCATCAGAGTGCTTAGCACAGCTGGGCATTGTATTCAATCGCAATGGCATTATGTCCTTCACTGCAGACATAAAGACATTATGAGCAACATAGAATGGTCAGAGGCGACAGAAAACAATCCAGAGTAAGCAGCTCATTGTGATTATTTTTAGCTGACAGTAATGACCAAAACATGTGAGGTCACATGCATGCACAATCACAGCATACATCAGTATGCTTCAACTGCGCATGCATTGCCTTCTGCAAACAGCTATATAAAGCACCTTGCTTCAACGACATTGCTCCATGAGTCCTGTTCAGCGCCTCACTCGTGCCCTTCAGAATTTTATAAGTTAAGTATTCCATGTTCCATCGGGTCTCCACTGTCAGCGTCATAGCTTGTGTGTCTGATCAGACCATGTCATGAAGTATACCTGGGAGTCACCGACCGGTTTTGCTGGTTTCAGTAGATGAATTATCATAGAGAATTTCTGGACCCCTCCATATGCCACAACACACCATTCTCGACTCTTTCGCTTTAAACCATCATGCGTCATTATTGTGGACTTTTCTTTACTCCATATTAAAGTTGTTCTACACTGTCAACACACCCTTCTCACACTTGGTGAGCTGACAGCTAACGTCGCCCCGGCTATGTTAATCTATAAGCATTAGCTCACAACCGTTTTCATAAATGATTGCAATAGCCCTGTTCACAACGCACAACTCGTGGAAGCCACCTAGGTGATAGGCGATTTCGGGTTCGCCTTACTGGCAAGTGTAGTAATTTTTCTTTCGTGACCAACTAAAATGTTCAGATGTTCTTCCGTAGTAGTTGTCCAGCAAAATGTGTTGCCTGAAACTCCCCGTAATTCCCCTCTCCCAACCAGCCTGGGCCCACTTCCGCCCCTGTGCACCTGCGCTGGCCGCCATCGCCCGATAGTGGCCAGATCGTAAGCTACCTAGGTGGGTCACGTTTTCGATCGATCTCCGAAGAAAATGAGAAGGTAGCTCCAATAATGCGATCCACTACGGATGAAGCGTAGAAAGCTTTGCTTGTATCTTATGGTACCACGTTACGAATGCTAGCGAAAGCAGCGGTTATGAAAAAGAGGATGGATGTTTGCCTGCGTTGTTAGGTATGATTTCGTTTGCGGCGTGATTGCAAGTGATCGTGTAATACGTAATTTAAAGATGACACATCTTTAAATTCAATTCAAAATGAATTTTGAATTTATCAGTGCCTCACTTACCTCAATTAACCGCCTGTTTTGCTGATACTGTTTCAGACTGTCGGCCACGTAACAGAGCATGGTGGCTGGTTACTCATGTAGCACGCACCTTCTCTGGTGGCCAAATGGCAGTTGGGTGGTGTTCAAAGGCGAAGTTTCTGTTGAAATTAGAACACCAAGGTCTGAAGCCCACCAAGGCCTATTTAGCATCGTGGTAACTGGCAAAAAAAAATGCGTGGAATATTTTTATCGCAGAATTGTTAGCCTTTACTGTGTGGAGGCATTTTGGTGTGTCTGATGCATGAAATGCGGTTCTGTTATTTGATGTAAACAGATTAGATTTCGTGGGCCCGTGTTTTGACCTTGGGAACTAGCAATCAGCCGTGGACCTTGTCCACAGCATAGTGGATTGATTGCTTACATAGGTATGTGCTTACATAGTGTGTCAAGGACAATGGTGTTCGATATCTGGAGAAGATTTTTGTATCCAGGCCGGATCTTGGCTCACATTTTGCACTGTAACGAAACGTAGCTTCAAAGCGGGAAACTGGCAGAGTTCATACCACATATTTCTGGTTGGTGTGAAAGAGTAGTTTTACGTCTAAGTCGGATATCAGTATGACACTAAAATGCATTTCTTCCGTGTATGAA